GGAAGGGAAAGTCGGAGATGGAGCTAAGCCGAGCGGCAATGGGAGAGAGGCGTCGGTTTGGCAAGGTAAGAGGTCTCTCTCTCTGTTTCCCTTCCTCTCTCTCTATCTCTCTCTCGCTCTCTGGCTGAATGATCGGGCAAGGATCGGAAGGCTTGCGAATAGGAGCGGCTAGGGCTTTGTTTGGGTTCGGCCTGGGCAGGGAGATTAGATTGACGGGATGACTGAGGGTTTTTTGCGTGGAGAGCTTCGGCAGTGGAGTTGGATCGGAAGAGCAGAGGGAGGAGTTGAGTGCGGGATGTTGTTCGGAGCTTTTGGCCGAGAGAGAAGAGCAACGAATGGAAGAGAAGAGTCGTGGAAGGAGCTACGAGAGTTGAGAGCTTCGTGTGGGATTTTCGAACGGCCGAAGAGTTTCGTTCGGTCGTGTATTTAACGACGGGTGTGGACGCTCGACCAAGGCAACATCGCAGGATTTACGGGATTTGATTGCAAACGGCGCCGAATCGGCGCGATTCCGGCAGATTTTGAGGATCCGACAGTCAAGGTATGAGTTCGTTTTTCTTTCTCTTGAGTATTGTACAGAGGTCAACAACAAGAAAAGGCTTCATTTGGTTTCTTGGGAACTTACTTGCAGATCTAAATCTAAAAGGGGTTGTGTATCCCATTCATTTCTACAATTCAACAAGCTCACATGTCTACATTAGTTTTGAGGTTGTTGAACCATAGTGGATTTAAACTTAAGTACACTTGTATCTAGAAATGTTGCCACGGTCATTCTACCAACTTTTTGAACTTTTTGTCTAGATGAATAAGGCCAAATATCTAATATACTATTGGAATGGTAACGGGTTCTATTTTTTTTTTTTTTTTTGACCCATAGTAACTATGTCCTAACAACATCACCCTCGCACCTAATTCTCATGTGAACACTATCATTACTTATAATGGTTGGCACCCTTCGACCTTACCTACGAGTTTTCTTAGAGATAACATTAACTCTATTTGTGTAAATTGGTTTAATTTTATATGGAATACATGTTATGATCTTCGATTCTCCATATATACTTGGTTTACCATCATTGAGGTTAAGACTTATGATATTCTTCTTATATATAATATTCAAAATATATTCGGCTTATTTATTATGTGGCCATGGCCTTGAGACTAAACATCTTCTATTCTTCACTATAACTTCTCATATATAGCATTCTTAAAAAAATGGTCTCCTTTGGGTTGCTTCATTTCTCTTAAGCGGTTAAGTCTGACTATTATTAATTAACGTGATAGTCAATAGCTCCACCGCTATGGCAGACATATGTTATCTTTCTATTAGTTTCTTGATTTATCTCATTTGGCATGAAAAGAATGATAGAGAGTTTGGAAAATTCACGGTCAACATTTCTACTATATCTCACAAATTCAAACATACTTCGAAAGCAATAATTTGTGGTTGGAAAAGTTGCAAGCAAGAAGTTGGAGGCTTTTTATTATAGCTTTCACTACTCTACTCATTGATTTTGTTGACTTTATGGCATATGTTTTGTAAAGTGGTTTCATTCCTAATGGGATTTTGCTAAGTAGCGTATTGAGAGGCATTGATTATCAAAACATCTTGTGCTTCTTCTAGAATTCCTCTCACTTTAAGCTTTTTTTAAAGGATTATGGTTTTCTTTTTGGCTACCGAACTATGATGAGCGCGACCCATGTGCTATTCATTTTTCCCCATCTTGGATGGATCTTGTAGCAACCCATTGGATGAAGCAATCGATATCTAGCTAAGACTTTCGAGTGCTTTACCTAACCCTTTAACCATCAGGCACTGCTTTGAGTCCTTGGAAGCTTTTGGTCTTTTACTCTCTATTCTATTTGATAGATCTTTGTTTTTGTGGAGCTGATCTTTCAATTGTAATTTTTTTAAGATCCTCTATATGTCTCTGTACTTCCCTTTATTAATTTATTGTGCCGCGACTATCAAATTTTCCCAAAAAATACAAAAAGTAAAGTGTAAAACCCCAAAATAAATTCATATTGAAATGATGTTTTCTATATTCTTATGTCTAAAGGTAATGTGCGGATAGAGTCACGTTGTTTAATTTGACCACATAAATTATGACACAATAATCAAGAAGATTATATTTCAATTTTGAAGGTGGGTTTGTTTGGGGAGTATAGCATCACCATAAAAATAATATCCTGCTGTTATAATGTGGAACTAGCAAAAATATCAAATTTTGATATTCTAGATGGGCTTCATATGATACAGTTAGTTATAGGATGGAAAACGCCTATAAATTCTTTGAGAGATGATTAGGTGCAAAATATATTGTTCTTACAGTATAGCTAGAAGTCTAGAAGGTGATTCAACTTCAATAGAAATCATGCACAAGAATCATCAGCACCTTATTCTCCGCAGCCGAAGCGTTCGAGAAAATATCAGCCACCAGCTTTGCAATCTGGGACTTGGATACCTGTAAGAGACGATAACACAGCTAAGAAATTTTATAGAGAAAAATAACGGAAACTAGTTTTCTTTATAAGTACTATTAAGTGGCCTGCAACCATTTCTGTGTTTTATTGTTTTATTAAATTACCTTGGAGTTATTAAGCGTGGTTGAATTATCCGAGCTGCTGCCCTCCTTACCGATAACTAGAGCATAAGAATTCTCTGGTGCGTAATCCTCCGTAAGCCTGGCCTTGAGGAACGTGTATGCAACGCCATCAGTTTCCACCAAGTTGGCAAGCAACTCGGCCATCGTCAGAGGCGCGGGAGCACCCGTAAAAAGGTTAGAAAAGAAGGAAGTAATTCCGTCGAACACGTTGTAGGTGGACTGCCCGGATCCCAGCCCACCGGGCCACGAGTCATAAACAACAGCCAGATGCCCTACGCCGGCAAGCCCAGCGGCTCGAACAACACTAAGGGCATCATCGGCGGTGACATCACCAGAGGGCCCATTCTCCCCTGATCCGACCGTGACCACAGCCTTCGTGGCTGGGCCGATCGCCTTAGCGATCGACTCAGGATTTGCGAAGGACGACTCGACTGCGTTAAGCCGCCTGGATTCATCCGGTGATATGGTTCTATAAGCAGCGGCCAGTCGAGCAAGATCTTGAGCGGAGGCGATATCAGGCACACCGGCGCGAACGGAGAAGCCCTGGCGGAGGAGGGTGAGGACAATGCGAGCTCCGGATTGGCCTGTGGCACCGGCGACGAAGACCGTGTTGGGGTCCTTGCGGATGCGGATGGAGAAGAGAGATGTGGATTTGGGGTCGGGTAATTTAGGCAGGTCGAAGAAGAAGCGGTTGGGCTTGTTGGTCTCGGATGAAGTGGGGTTTGGCTTTCTGCAGAAGATGGGAGTGGAGGGCTTTGGAGAGGTTCGAGGCTCGAACTTGGGGTGACGGGTGGTGATAAGGCGAAAGCTGTGGGAAGTGAGCGCCGGAGCCATACGCGGGTGGTGGTCGGATCGATCAGGAATCGGGAATGTGGAACAAGTGCGGATTGCGGGAGAAGCTTATTCAAGAAAGAGAGCCACATGACTGTTGTTGCTGGCGTTTATCCGATGCGGGAAAATTTTGCGCCACACAAACTTCACTTATATATTTATACTCACTTTGAAAAATTTTCTCAATCCCATAAATAGTATTATAAAATATAGTTGACAACAATAAAACTTTCTTATTTAATTTGTTTTTTTTTTTTTAATATGACTGACGCTATATTAGTAATGTATTGTTTTTTTTATTTTATTTTTTTATATATTGTTTTTTATTTGTTTTTAATGTTTAGATGGATTTAAGGATGCACAGTACTCTAATTTTTGTTGGACCTCTTGAGATCCGTTTCTGTTATATAAATATTAATTAGTAGCTCATAGGAAGGGATATGAATACTGATATTATACATGGCTTCATGTGTATAATGCCTTTGGATAGTTCTCTGCGTGGCTTCTTGTGTTGGTGCAAATAAAATTTTAAATAAAATATTGTCTAAATGTAATATATATTATATTATATTATATGGGTGTATAATTATATATATATATATATATATATATATATATATATATATTAGAAAAACTTGAGAACGCTTAAGTAGAAAAGTTATTTGGGCTTTGGCTTGGGTTCCGCCTTGGGCTCTTTCACTGCTTGGCATTTTGATAACATATTAGATATGTTTTTATATTTAAAAAATAAACTTAATAAACATAATCAATAGAGGTTATGATCTTTATTTGCTATATATTCAGAAAATAAAGCACTTAGATATTCATTTGACTTCCATAATGCTTGAACTTAAAATAAATGAGGTACATATTATAAATTGGCAACTCACTCCAAGAAAATCTATGATAAATGTACGAGGGAATCAAATTTTTAAATAGCATAAAAATGCTACTAATATTAATGTCTATTAAAGTATAATACATATTTTTATGCTTTTATTTTGATAAGATTCAGACATTAAAATGAGCATGGAACATAGTATAATTGGTTTCATATTAATGGAGATTTCTCAACTACAGAAAGTTAAGTGATGATCAAGTCTGAAGAAAGAAAGCAAAGAATGAGTTCATTACTAAGCAAGGGGCCCGGATAATTGCCAAAAACACCAATGGGATTGAGAATATCATTTTTTAGAAGAATCCAAGCTAACGATGCAAAGGTGGATAGTACAAGACCGGAAGCTTTAATGATTATTGTTAATGATGGTTCCTCCAACAATCTAAGGTGAAACAATTCCTAATGAACCACAAACTTTAGAGTTAAAGACATAGAAATCCTCCTTTATAGCATAGATTAGCAAGATTTTTTAAGTTTCAAAGTTTGACACTCACCAAATTAAGGCTCTTATCTGAAAGTTGTCTCTAACCTCCCACAATAGTCATTGGAGGCTTCTCCTAGTGTTTGGGCTGACTTAGTGAAATGCAACATTTAGCTCTCTGAAGTATCCCCTCTAAAAATCAAGTGAATGAGAGCATTGGAGAACCAGTATCAAAGGAAATTGCCACTGAGAGTAAAATCACTAACAATAATAAAGTAGCAAGGAGTATCTTCTTAGGTAATGAAGTCAGTTGCGTTGTTAGTGTTGTTAATCTTTGATGGTAGTGAGCAAGAGACAATTTTGGAAGTCATTGCATCTTCTTAAAAGAGCGAGTCACAAGCTTCCACTAAGAAGATACAAAAGCCTGAGGTGGTACCATCTATAAGCAAAGTTACCTGAGGGGTAGTCAAGGGTAAGGTTCCTTAGAGCAAGCTTCAAACCATCCTACATAGTTGATAGGCTAAATTATCATGCTATTCATCTTACAAAGTTGCATGATATATATGTTCAGCAAGAGTCTTCTCATTTAAATCTTATATATTAATTGTTATCTAAAATTAAGACAATTAAATTTGTGATCTATTTAAGGATTAAATTATTGTTTGGCTTATGTGATCTTTCATTTAAATTTTTATGGAATTAAATTAATATTGCATAGAGACGAAGCATTTTATTCTATTTTAATGATATATTGAAATAAACAATTACAATTAAAGTATAAATAGAGTCGTGGTCCCATTTTAAGCTGTTATTATCCTTTTTTTACTCATTCCCTATCTTGAGTATAAAGATATGTCTCTCGCTCTCTCTTGAGAACGTTGTTTTAAATGTGGAAGATTGAAAATCTCAATTCTGAATTTCAATGGACTTATATATGATTTAAACAATTCTTCTCAATGATTTAACATGATGAGTTTAGTGATTGGAACAAGCAGAATCCTTCGAAGCTAAGAACATGACACATGATAGTACTAACACATTCTCTAAATTTAAAGAAGAAAGAACTAATGGATGTCTCGTCTTCAATCAAAGACTAAAATTAGGGGAATATATGTTAATTAAGTTATGTCGTATTATTATTCTTTTTTAATTTTCATATTAAGAAATATAGTAGTTGAAGATTTGATCAAATTGCCTCTGTCAATTTTTTTTGAAATTTTTAGGTCAACTAAATCAAATTAACACATACATAAGACTCAAATCCAAAACTTCTTGGTTGATAGTCAAAGATCTCAACTAACATATCAAGATGAGTTGAGTCCATCAACTTTTTGCTAAGTAGGGTGGAGTTGACATCGCCAAAAAAGTCAGTGTAGGTGAGCTAAGATTTGACTCAAACCGAAATAGATGGACCTACCTCTAATAGAAAATGAGGGTTGAAAGGGACTAAATGCAAATATTGTTACTTTTTATATAACTCTTGCGTTAAGGGAGGAGGAGGAGAAAGAATAGAAAACTTCTTCGTTTTGAAGATTTTAAATAATTCCCTACATTTTTATTAAATGATGACCGTAAATTAGCGTTTCGGTCAGTTGCGTATGGAGACGGGCGTCTCTTTTTTTTTTTAATTAAATAGTTTTTGGTTTTTTAAATAATTTTAATCTTAATACTTTTTTTTGGCTGATTTAAACTAGCAAAAACTTTTTTTCTAAACTGTAACCCGATCTGAACTTGCAAAACTCACCATCCAGTTTGTTTTCTATGGAATTTCATCACATTAACTATTTTTTTCTAATTATAAATATATTTCAAAACATTCTTGTGGTTGGTTTCGTATAGCACATTATATATAATTATTTATTTTTCTTAATAAAAAAATATGTCAGAATGTGATGATGCCATTTTCATCATGACGAACTTAACAATCCTAGATTTTCCTTGAAATTAATTAATTAATATTTTAATATCATATATAATACTTATTTCAACGTAAATTTAATGACAATTAAGCCAATTTTAATCAAAATACGTCAATACGTCTTAAACAGACGATATTATTTTTCTTCAGTGTCAATAATTTCAAAAACATGTTGAGCAAATTCTAATAGTAATTGGAGAAGTATGTGATACCAAAAATTAAAAACATATAAAGCTACACCCTCTCACTTATCTAATTGTGTGCTGGATCTTCGTACAATACTAAGACATTAAACTATATTTCTCTACCGTCGCGAATACTCCAGGACGCAACAATTATTATTATCAAATCACTTCTTCGCTATTCGAATTATTCTTTCAAAATAAACCAGACTACACTCACTTATGTGTTTTTGATTGCGAATGTTTTCCTCTTACTTCCAAGCTGCTTCATCACAAATTGCAACCAATATCAAAATCTTGTGTATTCTTGGGATATCCAGACACTTATAAAGACTACAAATGTCTTGACTTGGCAACAAACAAAGTTATCATGTATCGTAACATCAGTTTTAATGAACTATCTTTTCTATTCGCCAATATTAACACCACTTAACAAATCACATCTAGGTCTATCTCTCCACATCTCCTAACCCCTGCCTCCGTTCAACCCAATTCTAGACACTCAAATGCTTCTTCTCAGGACAGTACATTATCTGGCTCTACCGCCTTTGAATCATGTCTTGTGCCAGTTCCTGTCATCACATAACCTATTCCTACTACTCCATCTGATCCGGCTCTTCCTCCACCCATTTCGTCTCATCCCATGATCATTAGATGACAAACGGGATCTCTTAAACCAAGTATTTGCTTAAATCTCATCCATCAACAAATTTCCTCTTCTCTATTGTCTGATCCCACTTCATACACTGAAGCTGCTAAAAGTGAAGCCTAACGTAAAGCTATGGCAGCTAAATTTTTCACCTTGCAAAAACAAGGCACGTGGAGCCTAGTCATTCCGCCTCCCAACTCCTCGGTTCTCAACTCAAAATGGACGTATCATACTAAATTTCATGCTGATGGATTGATACCTAAGTACAAAGCTAGACTTATCCCTCTTGGAAATCATCAAGAGTATGGTTTAGATTATACTAAAACATTTAGCCCAGTCACCAAATTACCTATAATTTGTATACTCCTCGTTGTCGCTCTCTCTTACAATTGGCCCGTTCAACAACTTGACGTTCTGAATGCTATTCTCCATGGATAGCTTTCAGAAACTATCTATATGAAGCAACCAAGAGATTTCGAAGACGCTTACAAACCTGATCATGTTTGTCTGCTCCATAAGGCTCTCTACGGGCTCAAGCAAGCTCCGCGACATGGGTACAACACTTTTACATCTTATCTCGTCTCCATTGGCTTCCATCACAATAATTCAGCCCATTCTCTTCTAATTCTTAGACATTCCAATCTACTCTTTTTTCTTATCTATGTCGACAACATCCTTATCACGGGTAACAATCCAACTCTTCTCCCTCATATTCTTAATCAACTCAGCATTAAATTCTCTATGAAACATCTCGGTGAAGCTCACTCGTTTTTGGGTATTCAAATCAGTCATCAAACACACCAATACTTTCTATCCTAAAAACCTTATGCAACATCCATTCTTCAAACGGCTAATATCACCCATTGCAATCCTCTCTCAAATCCAACTTGCACCAAGCTCCCTACAAATATTCTTGTTGATTCCTTTCTATCCGACCCTACTATCTATCGCAAAATTACAGGTTCTCTGCAATATTTAAATCTCACCAGACCCAATATATATCTCATATAGTGTTAGTGTTCTCTCTCAACATATTC